AACTGAACTGAATAGAGAAGACAATTAGAAAAATCATCAGTGAGCTTGACGACCAGCTTGTAAACTCGACCGTACCTTGAGACTTCCAGTTAAAGAACAACACACGAATTACTTAAAAATGTTTTTTTTTTTTAAGTAAGGTCTCTTTTTAAGCTTGAACAAAAACACTGAGATACAATTAATTGTTTACACCCGAATGTGGCACGCAAATTTCCTGCAACAAGAGTTTTAATAGCGAGGTTTTTTTAAAGGCTCTATTGAGAGATTAATGAAGATAAGACTAAATATTTCTCAGATAACCGAAAATTCAAAAAATGGATAAAGAGAAAGAAAACAATGGAGAAGATATCACTAAGAATTTCTCAGTTAACTAAGACTGACTAAAAACAACAAAGACCCGGAAACGCCTTTCATTTTTTTCTCAGCAATAAAATACTCTGAATGTCACTACGGTGTTTTCAATATTACTCAATGTAAACAAGATAATATATTAAGGCGAAGCGCCTAAAGCGTATGAGTCGCAATGTTATTTTCAAGAAAAATACTTAAACATGCTTTCTGATTTATGTTTATCTCAATTAAATATTGAGTATTTTTAAAAGTCACCTATGTTGTGGGTAGAATGGCAAAATATAATTCCAATAACGGGAATCAAACCCACCCATCACAGTGGTAGGGCCACGCAGCAGCCTCGGCTGATGCACGAATGGACAGACCCGTCCGGGTAAGTACCACGACCTCACAGAAGACCAGCGTAAAGAAGTATTATGACAAATACTTTCGCGTTTCGTCTGGTGAGTGAGGTAGCCGGAGCCCAATTCTTAAAAGGTTGTCAACGCATCTGTAACCCTCGGGTGTAGCAGATGTCCATGGGCGGCGTTATTCACTTACCATCAGGTTAACCCTCTGTTCGTTTGGCAACTTTTCACATAAAAAAAAACGCCCATGGGGTAAGAGACAGGGATGCTATTCAAAACTCTCATTAGTATGCGAAACAGTTAATTATTTCGTTAAGTTTTCATTCGTGGAAGTTCAAAGATAGTATGTAAATCATAAACTACAAAGACAATATAGACCCTCTGGATAGTTTTTTTTTCTCTTTAAAATTTAATAAATACTCAGCCGCAAAATTTTCAAACAAAAAACCGGCCAAGTTCGAGTTGGACTCGCCCACGAAGGGTTCCGTACCATAATCTATAAAAAAGGCAAAAAAAATCACCTCTGTTGTATGGGAGCCCCACTGAAATATATTTATTCTGTTTTTAGTATTTGTTCTTATAGCGGCAAAAAATACGTCATTTGTGAAAAATTCAAATCTATCTAACTATCACGGTTCATGACATACAGCCTGGTGACAGACGAACAAACAGACAGCAAACAGACAGCGGAGTCTTAATAATAGGGTTCCGTTTTACCCTTTGGGTACGGAACCCTAAGAAGATATTTCAAATATTTATGTGTAGTCCGTCTGTAGAGAAGACTTTTGCTTAGCTGGTACACGTATAGGCTATTAATTTACTTTTTTATTATTATTATCAGCTGATATCGAAATGCCAAAACGTAGTTAAGACATCGTATGTATGTGTATTAGTGTTTCTGCATGTTTTTTTGAAGTCATCTTTAATTTTCTTCTTTTTCATCATATCTACCATGACACTTAGGCCAAGTGGTTGAAATTGAACGATAATTTATTAAGTTATCAATAAAACGATTTCCCTATTCCTTATCATACATTAGTCATGTACTTGTTGTTATTACTCCTTAGTTATGAATTGTTGACTAAGGTTCTAGAACACTTGCGACACATGAAAACATTTATGAACCCTTATGAGTACATAAATGTTTTCATTATAATAAAAATTCAAATGATATGTATCGCCTAAGTTGTTAGTATAGGATAAATTATGAAATATATGTCTTTGACACAGTTTTACTAGGCCTCTGAAGCTCAGGCGATTAATCATATCGAAGTTGTATCATCAAAATTTGTTAAACTTACAACCCTACCACTACCAGTTCTTATGCAATTAAATCTAGGCAGGCAGAATAATGTATCACTATGATACGATACGAATAAAAGAAAATTATGTCTACAGATAGATTTATTTCTTCAAATCCCCAACGAGTGTTTGAAATTGCTTTCAATGTAATGACAAATATGGAAACGGCTCACAAGAAAATGAGATCCATCGCTAGTATAGTAACACTCAAAACATTTCCACTGATGTACTATATCGGTAAGTACATATTTCAGATACTTCGAACGTTTCACAACCTGCCTTACTCACCGGGCAAGCTGAAAAAACCGCCCAATCGCACGCGAAGGTTTCCGTACCATTATCTATAAAAACAGCGAAAAAGTCATGTATGTTGTATTAGAACCCTCTTAATATTTTTTTATTCTTTTTTTTTAGTATTTGTTGTTATAGCGGCAACAGAAATACATCTTCTGTGAAAATTTCAACTGTCTAACTATCACGGTTCATGAGATACGGCCTGGTGCCTGACAGACACACAGCGGACTCTTAGTAATAGGGTCCCGTTTTGCCCTTTTGGTACGGAACCCTAAAAAGTATACATAATTTTCTGTGAAGCCTTGGTACTTCCCATTTAAGCTGGCCTACTTGAGCCGCATATGCTGATATGTATGTAAGCTGCTATTGCTGCAACAAGTTCGAGGATAAAAGACAAATTAAAAACTGAAGATTTTAAATTGAAATCAAGAATATTTCAATGGTAAGACTAAAGAATGCTATGACAATGCATTGTCATGTATTCTCGAAGCAAAAGATATATTTCTTATTAAGCCTAAGATAGATCTCGAACAATAGAATATATTGTTTTAAATCCGAGATTTTAAGTCGGTAAAAGCTTGGAGACACAAAACAACGGTAAAATTTATTTGGTATGTGTTATTAAAGTTCCTATGACTAATATTCCTGCAATTATAATACTTTAAAAAAGTTTTTATATTGTAGTTTTTATGGTTATTTTTCAACAAAATTATTGTAATTTCAATCGGGGAAAAAACCTATTAATCATTTGATTGTTAATCAACCCCATTGAAATATCTATTCTATAATTGCTATCAGCTATAAAAGGAACTCAAAATTTACAAGATAAAATTTAAGCATAGAGTACACTGTAGTCATTTTCACTTTCTACAATATAAAATAAATATTTTCAAGACATATTTTTACGCAATGTTGTAGTTCGAAACGAAGAAAACTTTGTACTATGGATAATAGGTAACTGATAAGTATACACAAAAATAATTTTCGTTTAAAAATGAAAACACAATACTGGCGTAAAGGACTATCGACATCTCCAATCAAAAAATATCTTTGTATTGTATTCACATCCTCTTCTTCTTTTTCTTTTCTTCTTCTTTCGTAAACGCAACTAGGTGGGGTCGGCACAACATGTGAACAATGTTGTTAATAGTATTTTATACTTTTTTTAATTTAATTTTATAATTGTATTAAATAGGCTTTTATGACCGGCCAGCTGCCTGTCGTAAAAACATCTACCCTTTTTAGGTTTTCGTCCAATACTGAGGTCCTCTTTTCTCTAATTAGTTTGAGGAATTCGAAGTACATCTACGTGTCAAGGCTGTCCGAGTTACCTCAAACACTTGTATTAACTCGTCATTTTTTTTATATATTATATCTTTTTTCTTAGGACACATTCTTTTACATCACGTTCTCTAGTCCCAAACTAAGCAACGCTTGTACTATGGGTACTAGAAAACTGATAGACATACTAAAACATACTTTTCTTTTGTAAATAAATACACATTATACATACCTATATAAACGCCCAGACACTAGAAAAACACTATGCTCATCACACAATATTTTTCCAGTAGTGGGGATCGAACCCACACCCTCTGGCGCAGAAGGCAGGTACAATACCGCTCACGCCATTCGGGTCGTCAATATCGTTTATCACATATTGTTTTTGGAAGGAAACATAAACACATTATGACACAATCATCACTACCTAAATATACTTTACCTATCAAAAATCACAGAAGCATTCCAGTCATATTATAGATACAATATTTTTAAATTCAGGTTGTACGATAGCAGGGCTCAGTTTAGACAGCAGGGTTTTGACAATTTAGAAGTTTTTTTTAGCAATTTAGAATAAAAGATGTATGTATGATGACTCCGTGGCACAGTTGCCAAGGTATTGGCTTCGGCGTCGGTGGTCGTGGGTTCGATTCCCACACGGAACAACTATTTGTGTGACCCACAGGTAGTTGTTTCGCATCTGGGTGTTTGTCTGCGTGAAATTTATGTTTGTAAAACGTCCCTACAACACAGTATAATGTTATCCTAAAGTAAGGGCAATGTTTATAAAAAGAAAAAAAAAAAAGAATTAAGCGGACAATCACTTCTCCTGTCTATACGTCAAGTATTTCACATTTGCCTTTCTGTCTGTTATTGTCACAACTTTCCGTACCAGTGTTTGACGATCTGACTCCACACACCTACCTTATGATGCTCAGATTTGTACTTTATAGCCCTAACTAGAATACAATTCGCATCCTACACAAGAAAGCAAGACGAAAATAATAGCCTACATAAGTACTACGCCCGGGCCAATGTTTTCTAATACACAAATGGTTTTATGATGTGCCGTAACTCGAACCCATTGTTTATTAAAAAAGTTAATTTTGTTTGTATTCCGCTAGCAGAGTCTCTTGACAATGAATCCGTTCAGGGTCAAACAGAAAAAAATTAAATGTTTCTAAATCTAGACCGAAAATGTACTCTAATTCAATGAGTTATAAGGTGGCTCTTATGTGTGACATGTCACGTAAAGGACGTGCCATACGAGTAAACATTCAACACCAAGCTTTATAATCGTGTGAAGTGTGACGCATGCTCGTGATAACTCCAAAGCCATATTTATATTTCAGTCGAGGGCAGACTAGTAGTGGCGAAACCGTGGCCAGGCAGTTTTAAGGATAGTTTAATTTAACCCCGTTTAAAATGTTCCGATTAATAATGTGCACTTTTCTGCTGTCGGGCACTATGGGCGAAATTATTCGCGACGGCCCCTGTGACCTTGACAATATCAACGCTGTTAGAGATTTAGATGTAACTAAGGTACGTGATATACCATATATTCTATTTGTGAAATATTAACACTACATATATATCTTAACCGTATTTGTCGAATTTTTATAAAAATAAACGGGCATTAGTTGTAAAATCTTAATCGCTAACTATTTGCTTTATTCGAATGTAGACAATGGCCAGTCCATTATCTACATTCGAAAATTCATCTATTATTTACATCAAAAGTGATAAATAAATTTAAATTTGATCTGTTACAGATGACTGGGGTGTGGAATCAATTAAAACGTATACAAAATGCTTTGGAGATCGGTGCGTGTTCCACTTTGACTATTACATTGCATTCTGAGGCCAACGTGACTCACATCATGCTATCGAATAGAGAAGTCTATGAGAAAGCTGCACACGTTCGAGAGGGCCGAATAGTCCCAAGAGTAAACGGGATATTTTCAATTGAGTATCAGAGTAAGTGATAAATTTATGTTTTTAAATATTTCAATATGGTCACAGTACCCACTGAATGTTGAGCTGTGAGTAAAATTAACTTTCACCTTCTGAGAAATTACTGAAAATGGCAATTACGGTAGCGGCGTAATTCCCATTTTCAGTAATAATAATCTAAGTTCTTACTCAAACTTAGTTTGTTATTACTTATAATTTTAGTTTTGCTTTACTCATGCCTAAACTTTCATTTTACATCTTCACTCGACTTAAATTGTTTCAGATATGACTTACGACTCTGTCGTAGTTGCTACAGAATACTCAAAGTACGCTATACTTTACAGCTGTATGCCCGCCACCGAAAATAAGTCCTCTAGTGAGTATTAGACACCAATGGACTTTTTTTTTTAAACATTGCCCTTACTTTAGGATTATCCTGTGTTGTAAGGACGTTTTACAAACATAAACTTCACACGGACAAACACCCAGATGCGAAACAACTATCTGTGGGTCACACAAATAGTTGTCCCGTGTGGGAATCGAACCCACGACCCCCGACGCCGAAGCCGATACCTTGGCGACTGCGCCACGGAGTCATCTTTTTGACAAAAAATCTTATTTTTGACAAAAAATTTCTATGTACACTCTCTCTTCTCGACTTCATTAGTCATTCGTTCGAATCATACATAAAACACAGGAACTATATCACTATTATATGTATGATATAATGCTTTAAAAACCCACTAAGCACAAATCAATGTAAATACGAGGCTTTTTCTATTGGTTATTAGAAACTGAAAGTGGTGAAGTTGGTGATCAACTCAAAATTGTATAATGCTGCATAGATGATACAACGCTTCGCAAAATCTTGCATTTGCTAACCTGATCTATTTGTAGTACAATAAGATTAAAGAATGTCTTTTTTGGAAGATGGTAAACAGTGCCTTCTATGTATTCTTTTCTTACTTTTTAAATAAAACTAGGAAGTCTGAATCACTAAGAACTGAATCACACACTATCAACCTTTTAACTCGAGTGTTAATCCATGGTATTAACAAATACCGGTATCACCGGACTTTGTGTGATGACACTCTAAAAATCTTATCTGTGAAAGATGAGCAACATTTGATCATTCTATTTGATGTTCACTAAGCCAAAGATTATATAGGAAATATTCCAATTGCATCATCGTGTAAACAGTCCTTTTATTAAAGATGTTAGTGCACTACTAACCTTCAACGGCATGTGCTAGTATGTATGAAATAATATGATAAAATTGCAGTAAAATATTCGCTACTTTCCAAAGGTCCGAATTATCTAGCAGAAATGAAGAGCCGATGATATTATTTATTATAAATGGAACCACCAACGGAATAATATGTTGTTTTGCAAAAAATGTGACAATAGGCTTGGGAACTAACATTTACATGTTTCCATTTAATGGTAGTTACAGCATGTTTAAAAAGACGATAAGTGTACGATAACTTAATAATTGTTACAAGTACGAGTAAAATACTAATATGAAACAAACAAAAACAATAAGACAACAAGAAAATAATGAAAATTAAAAATTTATAAAAATAACATTTTATATCGAGTTTATATAAAGTTATGGTAGAATTTTTACTTTGAGTTATTAAATAGATTGTCAATTTTGGCTCTAAAAGTTTTTATACTATCGCTAAATAAGTCAATAGTCTTATCCTTACTATTGTATTGTACTTATCTTACTATTAAATTTTTAGTTTCCTGTTACAAATATAGCTATAACTACGCTAATAAATTATTACAATTGCTAAATTAATACTCATGTATATGATTAATAGTGTTTTAGCTATGCTCTGCTAAGTAATTATAATATAAAGCTTGCACTTGTAGTTGTCACATAAAGTATTTTTTTTCAGTCGTGGCCTGGGTTTATAGTAAAACTCTGACCCTCGAGCAAGTCGAACAGGACGCCAACTTTACAGCAGCGATAAACAGTGTCAACGTCTTACAAAACGCTACGTGGGTCGAAACCAAGCAAACGGTAGACGCTTGCAAAATAAACGCAGGCGTCATGTTCAGATTGTCACCGATCCTTGCAGCTCTCGCGATGCTCTTTGTTTGCAAGGATATCATTGCGACCAACTAAGTTATTCAAATTTTATAATATATTTATTTTCCTTAAGATTTTCTGTTTCACTCACCCAATATTCCTCTAATTCATTAAAAAATATAATAATTAAATTAGGTTAACAGCTCAATAACTATAACTTTTCCGGAAACTTGATATTGTGTGTAACATACCTATTTAAAATATTACAAGACTTACTAAACTTGAGGGTGTTTACCAGTTTACTTTTATGCAAAACAAGGCTGGGGGAATCCCAGAATATTCTAAAATTACTCTGATCAACGATCAATGATCACTTCCATACACTTTCAAACATGATTATTACACCAAATTTCAAAAGTCAGATCTTGAAATCTACTAATCTGTAATGCATACAATCTCATGTGTAGTACTGATTTAAGTGTTAGTTTAGTTTCATCGAACTTACTTTAAATTACTTATACATATTTAGAATAAGCTGAAGAATATGTAACAAACATAAGACAATTAGTCAAATTGATAATACATTCTCTAATAGTGCTATAACGACAAATGTTAGTCTGAGTTTTATTGCATTTTAATGATCTTGATTGTTTTTAACGGAACTCCCGTGAGGCAAGTATTTAAAATTAGCTTTTGAAAATAGCTGTTTCATTCGTTGCGTAGTTTCCGCGTTACTAGGTTCTACCTTTTGATTGTTAAGTGCAGTGCAGTGTCTCAAAAATGTATCGCTTATCGACATTGTTACTTTTCTTCACTGGTTCATTGGGTCAAATAACTCTTAATGGCACGTGCGATTTTACAAATCTGTCTGCAGAAAGGAACTTGAATGTACCAAGGGTATGTACTTCAAACTATATAATTTAATGTTCACGCAACCGTAATATATCAACCGTTGCAATTCGTAATGTTCTCAATCATAATTTTAGCTGACCATTACAATTTTGACAAACGAATACTAAATTTGCTTTATTATTCTTAATTCAAATGAAATGTTCAATCAACCAGTTATGTCTAACTAAGCCGTCCTTGTAAATCGTTACTTGGAGTACACCAGAAGTATAAGTTATCGATGCACTGATACGTGGTCGCTTTTATCGCATGCAACTATTACTCTAATGAACAAATTTTAACGTACATCCTATTTTGCTACCTCACTAAACGAGTCGATAAACACATAGTTAAAGTTTTCCTTCCTTTTAAAAAATTAACAAAATGTACAGTTAACGTATCTAATAGGTACTTGCAAAACAATGCTTCCACTGCACGATTTTTCCAGAAATATGAACTACGTTAATATTGAAAACCGGTTATTGATATCATAATTAAGGCAATCATTATTACATAATTAATAATCAATATCAATGCAAATATTTTTTACTAGTTTTTATCATCCATAATAATAGAGATTATTCTATCTCATGACATAAACTGACACGCGTGTGTCCCTATGGTATGTATGTAAGTAAGGACAGTTTTAGTCCAAAAATATGCTTTGTTAACGAAACATGCCTTGTAGTTGTCAGGGCACTGGTACCAGATCAGAAGAATCAAGAATTTGCAAGAATCCGGCACTTGTTCAACAATGAACATCAACGCCACTGTAATAAACAACGCGCCACCAAAGATCACGATATCTAACAAAGAAGTGAGCGATAAAAAGATGCATTACCGGAACGGGACCATTACGCTCAACAATGGATACATAGGGAAATTCTCTATAAATGTCTCCGGTAAGAACACTGTAATATTTAAGTACTCTCGATAAGACTTTATGTATATTTTGGTGGTACAAGCTTAAACTATCTATCGTCAATGAACACCCTGACACAGCCGTATACAGCGTGTCGTTACAACCGCGACAATAAATGAACACACCTCTAACGCTACTTGCCAATAATCATAAAAAAATATAAAACGTTAAAAAAATCCACAATTAAAAAAAAATATTTTCCAAACAAACTAATTAAATAAAAAAGAAACAAAACCTGTACAACTACAACTGACTGATTCATACATTCAGAGACGTTTTCATTCGTTTCCACAACGTCGCATTACAAGTCTCTCTTTCTAAGAGTATGTTTTATCTCTTTTAAATTCATTCAACCCATTCATATGCTGTTCGGAGTTACGCAACCGAACAGCGACATTGTCACTTTGTGCATCATAGGCACATTACACTAACGTACATATGTACGTTTGATGCCTAATTTGAAGCAGTACGCGACTCGCCACCGTCTAACCATAACCATACCATTTATTTATACCGCGTATTCTTTATACCATTCACCATTTATACCATAATAAACCATTTACCAGAATATTTATAAACTCTCTCCCTGTACAACCTTCTTCATGGTCCTTCGAGCCGGATTACCAAGTATTTAGTACCAGTTTTTTGTCAAAAATTACGGAAATGGGGATTGAATGGCATTTTAATGCTCCTTCATGGCCGCAAGCTGGTGGATTATGGGAAAGAGCAGTTCGAAGCCTTAAACACCATTTGAAAAGAGTGATAGGTCAGCAAAAACTAACTTATGAGGAGTACTCAACTCTTTTAACCAAGTTGGAAGCATGTCTTAATTCACGACCTCTGTGCGCGCTGTCGGAAGATCCCGAGAATCTGGATTTTTTAACACCCGCTCACTTCCTCACAGGCAAACCAGGATTGACCATGATAGAAACGGCACACGATGCTAGAACCAGATGGCATCTCACAACAAACATATTTAAAGACCTATGGACAAGATGGAAAACGGAATACATGAGGAAAATTTACCAGCGGGAAAGTGGGCCATGGGGCGCGTAATTGACACGCACCCTGGCGATGATGGCTTAATTCGAGTCGTCACATTGAAAACCAAAAACGGAATGATGAAACGACCAATTGTTAAATTATCAGTATTACCGATTAACCAAGGTCATCAAAAACCAATACCAGAAGTCGATCAAGAATGTAAAAAACCAGATGAAAGGAGAAGGAAACCAATAAGGTCATCATTCGCAACAGTCGCTACAGCATTATTATTTTTTATGACACTTTTAACACCATCGTATGGATTGCATAACATTTACCAAATACCAAACAACCAATCGCTATATTTTGATCCTATATCCAGAATTCAGCTCATCAGGGATAAATGGACTCTTATTGTGTACTATGATATGGAACCTTATTGGGCAGGCATAGATACATACCATAAGATTACAAATTATATTGAAAACATGTGTGTCTCCATTGAAAAACAGTCTCATTGTAACATGATAGTAACTCAGTTACGTCACGAATACCAGGAGCTACCTCTTAGTCGTCTACGTTATAAGCTACCTCTTAGTCGCAGCTGCCTTATGTGCTGCAGCTGTGTGGGTGTGGAAGAGCGGGCGATGCCGCATGTGTTCGAGACCTGTTCGCCGTAGTGAGGACCACCACCGACAAGCGTTGGGGGGACCAACGCCGCCCGCACCTTCGAGCCCTACCAGGGGCGCACCAGTGTATAGTGTACCAACGCGAAAGCAGAGTATTCCTGACCCGCGTCAGTCAAGTGCAAGTGAAGTGTGTGATACAAACAATATTAGTATTCGTATGCAAAATTTGGCCATGCGATGGCCCAGTGCTAGGTGCAGTGCAAACAATCCTAGATACATAAATAAGGCTACATCGCCTATTACCAGAGACAATCCTGCTTTTACCATAGAGGACACTATAGTTTAATTATACGTTTTTAAGAGAATTTATTTGTATTTTTTAAGTTTGTGCTTTTTATTATTTTTATTGATTAAGTGCTTACGTGCTTACGTTAATGACCATTGTGCTTTGAAACCTTTGCTTTATAAGAATTTTACTGTTTTGTAAGTTCTTCTCGCTTCACATTTTCATCTCGTAGTCGGGAGAATGTTCGGAGTTACGCAACCGAACAGCGACATTGTCACTTTGTGCATCATAGGCACATTACACTAACGTACATATGTACGTTTGATGCCTAATTTGAAGCAGTACGCGACTCGCCACCGTCTAACCATAACCATACCATTTATTTATACCGCGTATTCTTTATACCAGTTTATACCATTCACCATTTATACCATAATAAACCATTTACCAGAATATTTATAAACTCTCTCCCTGTACAACCTTCTTCATATGCTTTGTGACCTTTACAAATGAACTTTACACTTTCATACGTAAGGTTGATCTAAAAATGTTTATTTTCTCAAATTTAATAACTCGGTAAATATTGGTGTTTAAAGAATATAAATGCTTAATACAATTTTAAAAAGTTATCCTCTATATATGTGTTCATTTATTGTCGCGGTTGTCACGACACGCTGTATGTGTTACCACGTTTAAAACGTGCCTTTCCTATTCTCATTTATGACGGAAAACTCAGAATTAAGAAAAAAAGAAAAGAGTTCATAACTAATATAATTAATGTTAAAACTCAAAAGAGTTGATAAATAATATAATTATCTTACCCAGTACGTCCTCAGTGGAACTGATCTTTTTTTGTAAAAAAGTTGCCAAGCGAGCTAGTGGTTCAGCTGATATTTAGTGAATACACCGCTCATGGTCATCTACAATACCCGAGGGCTTGCAGATGAGTTGATTACCTCACTCACTAGACGAAACGCGAGAGTTTAATACTTCCACTTTACACCGGTCTTCTGTTAGGCCGTGGCCGTTAGGTACTTCCCCGGACGAGCCTGCCCATTCGTGCAACAGCCGAAGCTGTTGCGTGGCCCTACAACAAGGATCTATTCTTGTACTAACGAAAGATATTGATAAGTGGCTCTATAAAAAGTCTTCAGTTTCTTCTGATAACATTTGTTTGAACTATCATTGCTAATAGACGTCATCCCATCAATTTGATTAATAATTAATATAATTTTAAGTTTCATTTTGTTAAACTTTAGACTTGATTTTAAGAACCTTAATTGTTGGATTATTAATCTTAAAATCACCGTAAAAGTATAGAATATACGAAGTGAAAAAGTGTATAGAGAGTTTACAGATAGTCTCGTTGCGTAACTCACAACACGAAGAGCATTAAAATAAATATTGCTATATTTTTATTTATTGTTACAGATATCGTCTACGACTCGATGATACTTGCCACAAACTACACCGACTACGCTGTATTGTACAGTTGTAACAATATTAATAACTCCACAAAGAACGGTATGCAATTTTCTTAGTCTGCTATTTGTTGATGTTTATTTATATCGGAACATATAAAGAAAAGCTAAACCACTGACACAAGCATAGGGGTTCGTGGGTTGAATTCCCACACGGACAAGTATTTATGTGATCTACAGGTAATTGACCAGGATCGGGATGTTTCCCCTCCAACCGGGTTCTCCCCTCCGACCAGGTTCCCGCCTTGACGTGGCGGAGAGGCTTAGTAGCCGCGGCTTGGTCACCTACGACGAACCCACACTGGGCCGGCCGTTGATGCAGTGGTGGTGGGGGCGGGGGGAGAGGAGTGTCGGTATTGCGGTGCGCTGTGCTCCTTACCCTCCGCGGTCGAAACTGGGGCCCGGAGCCAGGCCAGGTTTCTTGCTGCTTTATTGGCACTGGCTCTCCTGGCTCCCATGGCCCCCGGTCAGCGAACGCGGGGGAAGTTCTTTGGTCGTGAAAAAGGGGCCGAGTAGGAAGGCGCGCTGAATGTTCCAGCGTACCTTACCTGAAGGAGAGGGGAGTTGATCCCCGGGAGGGGGCAGCTGAGGCGGCAGCGCTGGCAGGGTCACGGAGGTGTGTGAAAGCGTTCCCGTGGCCCTGCCGACATGTGCATAGGTGTAACATCGTGGAGCATTTCCCCCACGTCAACAAAAAAAAAAGATCGGAATGTTTATTTCAAAGAGAGTTGACGTCAAGCAGGTTGACGGCTGATCGTAAAATACCTAGCTAAAACCGGTTGCAACACATTGCATGATTCACATATATTGCCGACCCCACTTATTTGGAATAATTATGCAGGAGAAAACAGAAGATGCCTGTAAATCCCAACACGATGTTTTGTCATCGTGATTCAAATATACAAGTTTTTCAGTTAAATATTTATTTTACATGTGCTCAAATTCTTTAATATGTTTAAAAGCATATATGTTCTTTATCTTATTCTTTTAGATCTTGAGATTACCTACCGTTGATGCCGCAGATGTGAAATCGGTCTAAATAAACTATTATCAAATGTATAATTATATATTATATTATTATTAATATATATTATCCAATATCAGCCTTCTATTATATATAAAAGATCTATTTATAAGAATATAAACATAATATAATATTATATTATATATAAAAATCTAAAAGATATATTTACCTTAATATATCTTAATTTTATTACAGTATGGGCATGGGTGCTAAGCCGAAACTCGACGTTGACTGCAAATCAGAAAGATTTAATCCAATCAGTCATTAATAGAAACGCGGAACTGAAGAATGCTACTTGGGTCACTCCAGAGCATTCTAAGAAAGCCTGTGATCCCAACGCGAGTGTATCGTATAGAATCTCGCCTGTTTTAATTTTAATCTCTGTCTTAATTGTATGCAAAGATGTATTTTCTGGTAAGGAATTATAAAAACATTTTACTTGCCTCATATGCCGTGGCAAGCGGGAACATAAACATTTTTTGTGATGTAATTTTTATAGTTATCTAATTCTCATCCTCTGTATTAAAATCCAAAACACTATAAACGTTATGAAGTTACGATAATAATTTGATGGCACCTCAAGATATGTAAAATACGCTTAAAATTGACACTGTCTCTGGAATTTTTAATAACTCAATACGATCCGTGATAATTTTCAATACGCTCGGAAAATTGACAAATAACTGATTGAATGACTTATTTCTTACATGTTTTTTTATTAAAGAATATCCAGAAGTTTAATATAGTATATGACATAATTTACTATCATAAAAATAATAAACATTTACCGTCGTAAATAAAAAAATATATCTATCAAACAATCCAAATATAAAATTGATCAACGAAATGCAGACCTAAAATCGTAACCTTATATTCTAACCAACATGAAACTCGACAGCCCTTCTGTAGATTAAAGAGTGCAGTTATGTTATCAATACCTGTATATATCATAGTATATATCACTGCTGCATAGGTAGTAAATGTTAATACCGCGTCAGTTATCGAGCTGAAGTGTTTGTTGGTTCGTCGTATCTATTGTTTGCTTTGAACAAGCACTTGGCCTTAGCAGGAAAAACACAAGTGCTGGACTTGATAATCGAATCCATACATCGCATTAACATTACTCATATATGTGTTAGTAAGTGTGAGTGTTTTCTATTCGTGTTGAGACAATTTAGCGGATTTTAACAGAATTGTAACAGCTCATAAGATCGATTAACATTGTATTTAAAACCTGTTTGTTTCAAATTAATCACGCAAATGCGGCCGCTGGTAAATCTTATTACTTCGGTTTTAACTAATATTACTAGTAGAAAAATTCTTAGCAATTTCTCTACTCTCTTCGTAAACATAAACGTGGTGTCATCGATTATCATCTGGAAATTAAATGATTTAATATTAGAATACTTTCTCACTAGTGTAATTTTTATTCAAATCAGTCCAGCCATTTTGAGCAGTTTTAGCGAGACTAGCGAGATTGTTACGTACAATAAAGATGATTTCGCATGATAAGTTTGCCGAACAACAATAGTGCTTTCGTGAAACATTTAGTGATAGTAATCGCGAATGAAGCAGGAATCTGCTGATAAAATGTCGCGGGCAAATAAATTAAATCACTAACATACCTATCATTCATTACAGTATTAATAGATATCTAGATATCTAGTACTATTTAAAAATATGTAACGGTATATAACGGTGGTAGAGCCACGCAGCAGCCTCGGGTGTTCACGAATGGGCAGGCTCGTCCGGTTAAGTACCACGACCTCACAGAAGACCGGCGTAAAGTGGAAGTATGATGAATACTTTCGCGCTTCGTCTGGTGAGTGAGGTAGCCGGAGCCCAATTTCCAAAAAGGTTGTCAATGCATATGTAAACCCTCGGGTGTAGCAGATGTCTATGGGCGGCGGTATTCACTTAACATCAGGTGAACCGTCTGCTCGTTTGACAACTTTACACATTAAAAAAAATTGTAATGATAGCTGAAACCACAAATAGATTCCGGAAACAGGGTTCTCGATAACGGTAAATGAGAGTACTTGATTAATATAAATAGATAAGAAATTGATTAATGATAACAATATTGGAACATAATAATATTAGATCTTCCTTCCTAGCTTGCTCACCTTAGTACACGGTTAGATAAATAAAACAAAAAGAAAATAATATTACAGTATAGATATTATTTTATCGATAATGAAAATTTTGCAATTGTTTTGTTTTAACAAATGATATTATGGTTTCTAAATTTCTTTTTTAAGAATTTCATAAAGATGTAACATTATTTGCACAAATACCAATGTTACTTAGCGACGGTATGACTTCTAATAGTGCATACAATTCGTTGGAAAATGAAGTAAAAATATTAGTTTATATTGGACCGTTATAACTTTTAATCGTTATAAATAATTTTAGAAAATGAATACAAGCTATGACCATAAATGAGGTGGTAAGAACACGTCAAACCTTTTTGCATCAAAATAAAGCAATAATATAACCGCTGTACGTATAACATTTTTTTAAAGAAAATAGTTATAATACCGAAACGATAATTTAGTTTTTCTACTTCCTGTTTCAAAATTAATTTAATTATCTTTTCGGAGAAATTAAAGGAGATGAAGAAGAAAGAGACCACGAGAGGACTCTTTAAAAAAATTGCGTTCTATCGCCAAAACTATGGATTAACCAAAAATGGTCGAAATTGTTTGTATGCTGGAAAGGATATAACATTTGATGCGCCAAGCATCGCTTCAAATGCTAAATAAAAATGTAGAAAGAAGGCGTTAAGATTTTCGTCGCTGTGGCTACCAGCCGTTTAGCTCAGTGGCTAGAGCGTCAGGCCGCGAATGCCGAAGACGTGGGTTCGATTCCCACAGCGGCGACAATCTTTTCGTACTTTTTCTACATGTTTTAAAGTTCAATCTTAAGTGCAGAGATTAGCACTATAAAAAACTTTAAAAATTTTAAAAAGCAATGGCGACATCTCTCGTTCGAATTATCGTTGTAAAACGATATTCAAAATTGTTTGTATGCTGGAAAGGATATAACAATAGGTGCGCCAAGCATTGCTTCAAATGCTAAATAACAATGTAGAAAGAAGGCGTTAAGATTTTCATTTGTGGCTATCAGCCGTTTAGCTCAGTGGCTAGAGCGTCAGGCCGCGAATGCCGAAGACGTGTATTCGATTCCCACAGCGGCGACAATCTTTTCCTATTTTTTCTACATGTTTTAATGTTCAATCTTAAGTGCAGAGATTAGCACTATATAGAACTTTAAAATTTGTAAATTCGGTTTTTAACATTAAAAAATATAAAGCACGCAAACTTTAAATGTCGCAATATCAAGGATTTATTATTATAAAACGGAGTAAAAAGCTTACACAATAATGACGAGTTTATCACTATACATGATAAAAGATAGTTTTATGTACCTATTTAATCCAAAGTTCATTCATTTTATGATATCACGACTCTTATTGCATTTTACTACAGCCTAGCCGGGAAAGTGCGATGGCCTCACAGAATATCGACGTAAAATAGAAGTGTCTACAAGTTTTCCTTTCTTCAGTTGGGTGAGGTAACCGGGGCTCACCCTCTAATAGGCTGGCAACGAGGTTCGCTCGTTTACCTCCCATAAGAAAATATAGAAGATATTATTATTATTAACTTCAAAAACACATAAAAAAACTAAAACGATCTTAGTTGTTCCTAAAAATGTTACATTTTTTACTATAAGCTTATGATATCTTATGGCGGTGAAATTTAAAAAAAATCTGAGGCATAAAGATGTTATGGGCAATACTCCGTAAACGGATAGGGGCACTGCAATGCAAACCATTAAAACGAGTCTCAACCATTAAAACGCAAGTCGTAAATCCATTTTGACTTCATATGAAAAAGTCATTTTACGATTCCGTGACCAAAACTCCAACGCCTCGAGCTCAGCACAACTTATTTATATCCGACAAATCCTAGGCTTAGCCTTGACAACCTATCCCACAGCACTCGCCGACACTGCAATTCTGTGTGACAATGTACAAGATTTAGCATATTTTCATGCGAGTTTTATAAACCAATTATGACCTCATCATAACATTTTCGTAGGGTGTTGACAAAAGTGACAGCGTTGCACTATCTGTTGCTATCTTCTGATGTATATAAAATTTTAACAGCGCCATTAGTATACACAATGACTTGGAGGTAGTTATTTATGTCTAGTACTTGTTCTTATCTTACTATTAAAGTATTCAAAATATGTGCCAAATATTATTATAATATAGTGCAAGTTAATCTAACCTAACCCCAACATGGCCCGCTGTCCGTTTATAGAATTCTTCAAGTAAAGAAAGAAGTCTTATTTTACAAACTACTTCGCCAAACGACTGTCTATGTATTAACTCGAAAGTGGTGAGTAGTAACTCTGTCCGTTTATATAAACTAGTATTTTTTTATTCATATCTCAATAGAAAATAAATCAAGTAATAAAATACAGCCCAGTGCGAGTAGGACTCGCGATAGAAGGGTTCCGTTATCTATAAAAACGGCAAAAAAAAGTCATGAGCCCTACTTAAATATTTTTTATTGTTTTTTTTTTAGTATTTTTGTTATAGCGACAACAAAAATACATCATCTGTGAAAAAACAGATGGACAGACAGACGAGAGCCGACTAGAGTCTTAGTAGTCAGTTTTTGCGTTGTACCCTTTGGGTACGGAACCGTAAAAATCCTGAAATTACTGTAAAGAAAGCCTAAAAATAGGTTCTACTTGGAATGGATCCCAGTTCAATGATACCGTGGTAATCACAACCTTAGCCCTTGTCTTCCACGGAGACCTTTTTATGTAAAAAGATAGCAATAGATTTAGTGGTTCACGTTATGTTAAGTGTTAACCACCACCCATGAACATTTACAACACCCGTTTCAATAAAGCAGGCCCTGGTTGCCTCACTTACCAGACGAAACACAGATGTACACTTCCACTGCACGCCGATCTTCTGTGATGTCATGGTACTTATCCGGACGTACCTGCCCATTCCTACAACAGCGAAGACCGCTGCGTGGCCCTAATACAGCGTTGCCCTAATACAGTCATGCATACATATTTTGATACGTATTATTATACTAACTAATATATTTGAGAAGAACAACAACATAAACGATTATATCGCACTTAATATAATAATACATCGTTTACATAAAAATATTACGAGCTGTTTCTCCCACTCTCATGATTTCAATCCCCGTCTCCTTATATCGCTACAATATTAACATTATGCAAATCCAAGTAACTGAAACTAGTGTTAAAATAACACTGCGATAAAACCGTCCATCGCTTGCACCATATAACGCAGCGGCGATGAAAAGTAAGAAAAGCCGCATATAAGCTACATGGAGGCGAAATGAGCATGCGACGCGGTGCTCCGTTA